CCTTCCTTCCTTCCTTCCTTCCTTCCTTCCTTCCTTCCTTCCTTCCTCAGTCCACTGTTTTAAAGTAGCATTAGCAATATTCAACATTGTTTTTGTAAATAACAACGCATCTAGTCCCTTCATCCCTTTTGGAAATCTTGTCTTTTAAGGAAGATTTATCCTACTGTAATACTCTAGTATCCTACCAGAGTAGTGCACACTTGTAATTCCAGCATTTTGTTGTTTTTGTGTCTTTTAATATCCTTCAATTTAGAATTACTCCCTTGTTTTCGCTTTTCTCTTGTGATATTGATATTCCTTAGTTCAGATTGTATTTTTATTCCATGATTAGATGTATTTTACACAACTTTGTTTTACTCTTAATGCATATGCTGGTCTCATGGAAGAATGTGAACATAAGCACCTTCTTTGTCAATACCCGAGGTTAGGGACCAGGATCGGGGTGTGCCAGGTGCTAATGCACTTGCCACCGCAAGTTTAGTCCCCCCACTTTGAAACAGAGGCGGGAGGAACTACATCACGAAAGTAAATAAATAAAATAGCTTACAGGAAGCATACATTTCACACATTTTAAATTTCTTGAAAATGTAATCAGGGGCTGGAGAGATAGATCGGCAGTTAAGAGGACTGGCTACTCTTCCAGAGAACCCGGATTCAATTCCCAGCACACAACTGTCTAACTCCAGCTCCAAGGGATCTGACATCCTTACACAGCAGGCAAAACACAAATGCACATAAAATACAAATAAATCATTTTTAAAAAAGGAAAATATAAACATAAACCACTAGGAGTGGGGGCAGAGAAGAAGACTGGGAATCAAATCTCAGGCCTTGTATATGCTCAACAGGCTCTTCATTGTTGAGTTACATCTTCCCTGAAAATAAGATTTGCAAAGCAAATCCCTTAAAAAGTTGAAGTTTGAAAATGAACTGAGAAAATAACTTAGAAGTTAAGAAAATACTCATTTAAAATCTTGCTTTTAGATAATTTACCTGAGAATAAGCTAAAAATTCATGAAGATTGTCAAATGTAGTTTTGCTTAACTGTATTAGGAATTCTTAAAGTGGGCAGCAGGAGATGCTACATAGGAAGCTGCAGGACTGTCCTAAGCAAATAAAACCAATATTTGTGAAAGTCTTCATTTTATCTGATTTCTTCTAGAACTTATTGCCTAATCAAAGATCTGATTAGCCCTTTCCTAGAGCAGGGCCCCTTCCCTAGAGCAGGCAGGCCTGCGCAGAGAGTAACAGGCACACTGCTGTTTTGTGCACGGCTGCCTGGAGACCCCCACCTGTATCCTCCAGCAGCAGGGGTTGCAGCCCACCAGTGTTGGGAAGGGCAAACTTTTCCCCTCACTCTGGCTAACACCAACACGACACTGAGCCTCTAGAACTATAGAGGAACTGTAACCCACCTATGGAGCTTGACTATATCATACTGGAATACCTGGCACTCTCTAAGCCCACCCTGGGCCTAAAGGCGCCACAACCACCCTATCCCAGATAAGTCTTGTCTAGGTAGATAGAACTGAGGATGACAGCAGGAGTGAGAAGAGCTAAGACCCTGTGAGTGAAATTGGCCATCCATGAAGATCACAGGTTATCCTCTGGCATCAAAGCCCTCTTAGGGAAAATAGTCTTGGAAGGAGAGCCACCCTCGTTTCTTTTTAAGTACAATAATGTTTAAAAGACTGTGTTTAGGAGCTGTGGAGATGGCTCAGTCAGTAAAGCTGAAGAACGTGGGTCTGCCACCCCTGGCCCCGTGGCGGTGCAGGTCTGCCATTCCCGGGTTGGGGACATGCATGGTGGTGCAGGTCTGCCACCCCAGCCCCATAACAGTGCAGCTCTACCGCCCCAGCACTGTGGGCAGAAGACAGGCAGCAGGCAGGGCCTTACTAGCCCACCCACCAGCCTAACCTAAACAGTGATCTCCAATTTCAGGGAGACACCATGTCTCAACAACCTAGGGTGAAGAACTGACTAGGGAAGATATCTCAATATCTACATATGCCTATATACAGGGAAATCACACCCACATATATGCTATATGCTTAGAACACACAAAATCACACAAGTGAAGTATGTGTTTAGCTGATCAATCAGTTCTCTTACCTCTCCTCTGACAGGGTCTGGGCTGCTGACAACAGCTGACTCTGCGATAGAAGGATGCTCTATCAGGGCACTTTCTACTTCAAATGGTCCAATTCGGTAGCTAGAAAATATGACAGGAACTCCTCAGGGTGAGTTATAGATGCACCCCGGAATGCTTGATTAACAGGCATGCACACATGGACGGGAAATTTACCCAGAGGATAATATAACATCGTCTGATCTCGCAACAAACCAGAAATAGCCATCTTCATCCATATAGCCCCTGTCCCCAGTGATGTAAAAATTGCCTCGTAGAGTTGAGGCTGTTTTTGAAGGATTATCCTGCAAAACAAATAGCATTTGTTAATATTATTATGAATGTGACTCTTTTCTCCAGTCATTTTTAAACATTCGAAGAAAAAAAAAAAAGCTTGGCCCCTTTGAGAAGCCTCAGAATGAAGAGGAACCAGAGTGAAGTAGGAATGACTTGCCAGCATGGATCTAGCTCAACATAAAGAAAGAAATCGTAGTTACAAAAACTTGGTGCAACTCCTGGAGAATGTTTTATGTAGATCATAAGATAAATGTAGGAACAACCCAAAGCCCTGGAGAGTAGGTAAAATTAAGCCTTTTTCTAAACAATACCTAACACTGGCAGGAAAAAAGAGAAGGGTTAAAAGAAAGCCCAATGTTTAATTCAGACCAGATGTATAATTTGCTTTGGTTTGTTTTATATAAGAGACCAGTTCTATAACTGGCATAAAAAGAAAATAAACATAAAATTGCTGCCTTCCATAAACTTCACTATCATGTATTAACTGAATCTTTTAGTATATTGATATAAACTTTGCTCTAATCTGTATACCATGATTAGATATAAGAAAGCTAGAGAGATTAATTTACTTAATTCTTTGGCCCCATTCTTTGTTTCTCTAGTTCCACTGGAGTGAGTAGAGAGCTAATCAGATGTCAGGGAAGGAAGTGTGTTCTGTTTGTTAGTTGGAAAAGATCTACAGATGTTAAGAAATTATAGATAAGAGCCCCCTTTTATGGTTCCCTTTCAAGGAGAGGGCACCAAAGTGTTATCTGGCAAGAATGTTATTTTTTTAATTGCCTGTATTTAGGGTTATTATCCAGGGCCATAAATATCTCAAGGAAAGACAAAGTTCCTGGGCTTGTTTTGTAAAAAATGGAATATTACCAAATACTTTGTTTGGTTTTGGTATAAGGTCTCAAGTATTCTAGACTGGCCTCAAACTTGCTTTGTAGTAACTGAGGATGATTTTGAATTTGTGGCCTTCCTGCTTCTGTATCCCATATGCTGGGTTTATGCTTTTGAAGAATAAATAGAAAATAGGTTCTTAAAATAAAGTTCTTACTACATAATGACTAAAAAGGCCAAATGGTCGCTCAGGAAGAACTTGAACACCAATGTCCCCTTCTTGTCCAGGAGGAAGAATAGCACCATTTTCATCTAAAATCTAGAATAAAACAGGACAGTTTATTTAAAGTAATTTTAAATTAATGCCACATTTGAAATTTGACCTTTGAATCATTTTGGCAAGAATGTACACTTAAAAATATTTTAAAATTCCTTTTTATATAATTTTTTAAAAGATAGATTCGTTTATTTATTTATTTATTATGTACACAGTGTTCTGTCTGCATTATGCCTACAGGCCAGAAGAGGGCACCAGATATCATTATAGATGATTGTGAGCCACCATGTGGTTGCTGGGAATTGAACTCAGGACCTTTGGAACCTTTGGAAGAGCAACCAATGCTCTTAACCTCTGAACCATTTCTCCAGCCCCCTACTTTAAATTCTAACATGTATTATTTACCTAAGTTATCATCACATAAAATATTATAAAATGCAAAACCAAACTGAAAATATAGTAAAAATTTTCTCACTTCTACCACCAGTAATGTTTTGGTAATGTCCTTTGGGACAATTATAGACAGGAAAAACTAGGATCCCTTGGCAAGTTTTGCAACCTGCTTTTGTCATTTAGCAATATGCCTTTGTTAGGCATGGATTCCAGAGTTCTGTGTCACTCTGTTAAGTCGAATGTACTAGGGAAGAGAAACAAGAATGAATATTTCAGGCAGGTAACCTTGTGTGAAGTGCATGATGAACTTGAGAAATATTGATCCTATCTACAACTAAACTCAGTTAAACCTAGGTCTGAGCCCTGTCCTTTAGAAATTGATTCAGTTTTGCCTTTTTGCCACTATTGCTTTCCTTCCTTTTTTATATGAACATTAGTGCAAATCCTTTGTCTATATCTGACTTTGAACCTGGCTTGACCTAAGAAAACTTTAACCCTGTACAAAGTGTGCAGATGGGGAAATAAAATGCTTTCGAAATCCAAGTATCAGAGGGTAATAAGGACAGTGGTTAAAGAAAGCCTAGAAACAGATGGGCAGGGAGAGAGAGAAGTGTATGCTGCAGTCACTTTGAACCTGTGCCACTTTAGGCCTGACTGATCATCTCAGTGGTCCAGTCTTCCCTCACCACATAACTGGTGGGTAAGAGTGTGGCTGCTGGAGCCAGATTGCTTAAGATTGTGTTCCCACTCTGAGCTCTGGCTGCACAAACTTGGGTAAGTTCTTTACTTTATCTACATACTCACCTGAAGAATGGTTCTATTATTAGTATATCTTCAGGATATTTCTGGAAATAAAATGCCCAGAATTCATGGCACAATGCAGGTGTTTGCAATAATAGTAAGAGAGTAGTAAGTCAACCTTTCTCACCCATCTCTCTTTTGGCATAGAATTTAAGGTATAAATAGCATGGAATTATCACATTTAAAGGAGTGTGGGTGAGTGTAAGTGAACATGCAAACCTTCACATCAAAAGCAGGAGAAGGCTTTCCCATTGAGCCAGGCTTAATTTTCATCCCTTTGAAATTTCCACAGATCAGCACCTGATTAAGGAGAAGAAAGTAAGGTAACTTCAGAAGTAGTATAAAATACTACTTCATCTGTGGTGCATTCATCCTACAGAACTTAGTTGTGCATCAGGGTCAGCAGAAAACCCATAAAATCCCTGCTCTTATGGACTATGGATATTGACAGTTTACAACTATACACAATAAAGAGAATATATATGTCTATATTATCATTTGTATTTAGCATAACACAATGGATACTATGCTAGTTGTGGGTAAATAATTGTCAATTTTTATTGTTGTTTCATTTTGAAATTTCAACATTTCCAGATAATAAAACTCAGGGTTTAGAAATTCAGACATTATGAATAAGACACACCCAATGAAGATGTCAACTTTCCCATTTCTCTTCTGGTCTTATCGCCCCTTCTACTACAAAATAAGCATGTTCTTCATTACCGGTTTTCTCTAGAGCTCTTCAGCGATGCTGAGGATTGAACTGAGGTCTCCCATATGCTAGGAAAGTGCTTGGCCACTAAACTACAACCCCCCCCCCAACAATGTTTTTTATCTGCAGGAATACTTTAAAGGGTTCATTTTTATTATATCTTATCTTTTAGGTATTTGCTTGTTCACATAGCCCAGGTATTTGCTTGTTCACATAGCCCAGGCTGGTATTGAACTCACTGCATAGCTGAGAATGACCTTGAACTTGACCCTCCTCCCTCTACCTTTAGAGTGTGGGGGTCGCAGGGATGCTTCAGCATCTGCTTTCTAAGGGGTCTCCCCGCACACTCAATGCTTCGGGGAACCAGAAACTAACTCACAGCTTTCTATTTTGTGACTCTTTGGAAAGTTCTGTGTCATATAGCGCCAATACTTTTCTCATTAAAAATATTGTGACATTCTTGCCTCAACCAGTTAATCATTTTTCTCAAAAATATGATAGTTTATTTGCAATTAATTTTTCTAAAGCTTTTCTTATTTTAAAAAATAATTGTTTCTTAACCACACCTTTCTGTATCCCTCCAGCAACCATAAGAACACATTAGACACTTTGGCTTTTATTTATCTGACTAATCACATCTAGCCCTGTCTTGAGTGGGGCAGGTACCGTTTCTGTCTGTCCGTATCCTTCGTAGATGTCTAGGCCTGTCTTCTTTCTCCATTGTTCCATCACTTCAGGGTTGATTGGTTCCCCAGCACTCACACAGTGCTTCAAGCTTTTGAACTTATAGCTTCTCCAAAACCACGGAGTAAGTTAGGTTGAGAAGAAAAAATGATGAGACATGGGAATTAGGATTATTGCTAATACAAAATAAGCACATCTCTCTTATATATAAAGTATAACCCTAATGCTAGAAGCAGATTGCTCTAATGCCAGGTTCTCTGTCTGTCTGTCTGTCTGTCTGTCTCTCCTCAGAGAATCACTTGTTGCAAAAAAATACCATGACATCCTTAGGGAAGGTACCCCTATAGTTACACACACACACACACACACACACACTTGCAACATGTAGCCCTGGAACTTGCTATATACACCATGCTGGTTTTGAACTTGGCCTCTGCCTCCCAAGTGCTGGGATTAAGTGCACCACTATGCCCAGCTCTAGAATGATATTTTAAATCTATTAAAAAATCACCTCCCAACTGTGAACTGAAGTTCTCTGAAGATGCCACATGAGTGTGGAAGATCTCACAGGCTAAGTGGCAGCACTTCATGATTGGGGTGGGATGGAATGTCAGGGATGGAGGGCCAAAATTGTCCTTGGCACTCTCAATAGTCATTTATTAGTAACTCACGTATCTAATCTTATCCTCATTTTATTAGATAAAACTCTTGAAATGTATTGTTAAACCTAGAAGGTTACTGGTTTCCACCAACTCTAAAACTGAGACTATTATAGCACCAGAAATCTACAGAAAGCATTCCCTTCTGGTTCCCTTCTAGGCTGCCTACCTGATGCCATCACCAGTGTATTGGGCAAAAGCATTGATTCATGCCTTCCTTTTGCTCTGTGACTATGAAAGTTCACTAATTGCCATTCAAAGTCATCTGAATCCATGTCCTTCACCCATAGTCAGTTTTATTTGGCTCAGAACAAACTCTGTCTTACTCTCTTTAGAGCAAGAGCTGTGCTTTGCATCAACACAGGAGACTAGAAATGCTGAGCTGTGAGCTCAGAGACAGTAGCTTCTTTTCAGAGCAACAGTCAAGCCTTTCAATGGAATCACAGGAGATACAGTGCATACATTCTCACTTTTGTTTTCTGGGAGAATTTGCAAAAAGGAACTACCTGTCTACTATCTCAGCTCAGTAATAGTTGTCACCCCAAAGATTAAATACCCACTTTATTATAACCACTCACTACACTCAGAGCTCTAGACATGGTCTAATCTTCCCTTCCCTCTCTCTATTAGTGGGAACCTGATCTTGGCACAGCGACTATCTTTATGAAATGTCAACAATAAAGCAAAGGAGGAAGAGAAAAAAACCACTATCCTGTACCGACTAGTCAGATCTGTTGGTTGGACAGACAAGTGTGTCGTTTCTAGCTTCCCTGTCCTCCTCTCTCCCCTGACTGAGTGTCCCTTTACCCATGTCTCACCTGACTGTATCATTCTGTACAAGCATTCGGTAGGCAGTTGGCGCAGAACAGAAGACAGTGATGGGGAACTTGGAGAGGGTCTGCAGTTAGGAAAGAGCAAATGTCTCACCTGAAATGTTTCGATCTGCCAGAGGCACAGTACAATGTAAAACTTTATTTTGATGTTAATGTACTCAGATCTTCTCCTGTCTTTGTGGACTTTGCAGAGATAGATATCTTAAAACTCTTATCCCTGCATTTACTTTAGTTGCCAGTCCATCAGTGATACCACTAACGCTGACACATCTCTAACCATGAACCTCCTCTAGTCTGCCTTACTTGCAAGATGGAAGTCGGCTCAAAACGGGACAAATAGTGTGCAAACACACATGCTCCTTGGATCCATGGAGAAAAAACACTACTCCATGCAGACTTTGCCCAACCTGTGTCTGAAGTATTCCACATCACATCTGAGTCTGTCAAATCCAGCCAGAATCTGGAATACAAACAGCCCTGTTGTATACATTTGTTAAAGTGATAGAAATTCATGCACACAAAGGTATGTAGAAATTTAAATTTGCAAAAATGTGTAATTTGTAGAAAACCAAATTAAAAGGCCAGTCCACAAATGACTCTATGAAAGTACCTTCCGTTGACAGATAATCCTAAACCAAAACTGCTGTGGGTGTGTCCGATCATCTTAGGATACCCAGTTGTCCCACTGGTGAAGTAAATGGCCATCATCTCATTGTGCTTTGTGTTCACGCAGGTATGGCTGTCACTGGCATGTCTGCAAAAGACAGTCTACAGTATTTCTGTGCCCAACTGTGACCTTTGGAGAGGACTCAAACACCCATGTGCCTGGGCCTCTTCAGCGTATGAACCAGTAACTTGGATTCAGTCCTGAAGTAAAGCCAGCTTTATCTCTGTCCTTTTACTTCTGTGGTGTGAATGGCCACCTTCACAATTATGAGTCTGCTAGGGACAGCCCCCATCCAAAACCGGTGATCACTGCAGGGTCTTCTACTATAGATTTTCACAGCCCTAAGTATTGATTCAAAGCCCAGGATTCCCAGTGTGTTAGCTGAGAGTTTCATAGGGAATACATAAAAAAATTAATTTCTTCCTCTGCTCAATCCTACATCCTTCTCTTCTTTCACAAGAGAACTCCGTAGTAAGCCTCCTGTACACCATTCTCCATCTCAAGGACTGCTTTTTAAAATTCTCAACCAGACTCCTCCTTACTTCAAAGCTTGGCACTGTTCGTTCTGTAATAATCACTGATTATTATAATAATATCAATATTATTATCAATAATAATATCAATAATATAATATAATAATATAATCAAGAATTATTATAATTCTTGCTAACTATTGCTTTCATTTGCATTTACCTCACTTATACTGAATTGGATACTTTTCTCCTTCTTGCTTTTCTCTGTGGGACATTGTTCTAAGGCTGAGGCTACTCACTTCATCATCTCCTTGAGGTTCCCCCACCCTTCTCTGGAGTGCTGGGACACAATGAGTTTGGAGGTGAGATTTTCACATTTAGCTGCTACAGAATCTACTGCTGGGGCTAACGCATCATCAGTAATAATGCACTTGGCTTTTGAAGACTGTAGTCTGTAGAGGATGTCTTTCTGGGTCAGCTGAGTGGTTCCCGGAATTAAAACTGTCCCTAAAGGAATAGAAAAGGAAAATGTTTAGAAAGGTTAACCTCTATTATGGAAATTAGGATACTGTAGCTAGTACATTCATGTCCTATCTACCACAGAATGACCTAGTGAATTAACTAGAGAAGATATCTGTTTGTCTGCCATTTCTCTGACTTTTGCCTTTCAAAAGATCTCCAAGTCTATGGCCCTTTTGCCCTAACAAGAGAACATTAAATGCTGAGTGATTGTCTTGTGTTTGAAGATCACCCATAATGTTCAGATTGAAGGAATTTTGATTGAAAAATAGTATTTAACATTGATTATGTGCTTCAGTGCCAGGTATTATTATATTTTGCATATTTTAACTTCGTCAATCCCCATCCAAACATCTCCAGTGTAAACAGCTATTCATTGCATGTTTCATAGCTTATTAATAACGAGTGAAATTGCAGGAGTTAGAGTCTGCAGCTGGTCTCTAGAGCTGGACATGTAACCACTCCAGTTCAGTGCCTCTTACACTGCACTGATTGTTTTATTTTTCTTGACGCATGTATCTTTTCTGTGGTCCTCCTCTTACCTGCAGTCAATTACAATGTAAGGTGTAGTGTGTTGGTGTCCAGGAGCCAGACACCTGTAAACTACTTCCTTAATAAGCCCTTCACCTCTGTGAACCTCAGTTTCTGCATATGTAAAATTGGGATTATAAAAATACATCCCTTACAAGATTATTCCAGGATTAAATGAGTTAAAGCATGTAATGAGTTTAGAATAAAATGTAATACATCTTAGCTCTTAGCTTTTGGTCTTTTTTTCAAAAAATGAGAGGATATTTTGCCTGAATGGACATGCCAATGTGGAAGGGAGCATTTCATGAAGTCCCATCCCTAGACAAAGGACTACAGGCAACTAATGACTGCTGAGTGTGGGAAATTAGCCCCTCCCAGAAATGAGCACCCGAATTCTTATCCAATACAAAGTGGTCAGCTCTGAAACCATATATTCACAAACAAACGCAAAGGACTCAGCAGATTGCATTATGTGTTTGTGCCTCTATCTATACTTCTAGGTAACAATCAGCTTGAGAGTCAGGGAGCGATGTGGGAAGCACAGGAGGGAGGGGACATGGAAGGGCCTGGAGGGAGGAAAGGAAAGGGAGAAGTAATGTAATTATGTTTTAATTAAAATGTATGTGATACCTATTCTTGATTGTCAACTTGCCTGCATCAGGCAATTAAATAAAACCCAAGTGACTGGGTATACCTGTAAGAGATTTTTCTTGATTAAATCATTTGAATAGGCAGAACCACCATAAATCTGGATCTTTTTGAGATGGGAAGATCCACCCTTAAACTGGGCCACACCTGCTGGTGGCAGCCTTTATAAAGGACACGGAAGAGGGAAGCTTACTCTTTCCCTGCTTGCCCTCACTCTCGCTGGCAAGTCCATTCCTTCACTGACACTAGAGCCTACCTCTTCAGCATTCTGATGTCTACGGGAGCCCAGCTGAGACACTCAGCCTTGTGGACCGAACAACTGCTCGATTCTTGAACTTTCCGTTAAGAAACAGCCTTTGTTGCAATTGTCAGATCATAACCCGTAAGCCACTTTAATAAATCCCATATATGAGTATATATGGACATATATAGCCATCCTAACAGTTAGGTTTTTTCTAGAGAACCCTGACTAATGCAATGTATTAAAAACAAATTAAAAATAAAAATAAATTATTTGAAAATAAAAGAATCCACTGCCTAGGTTGGAAAGATGGCCCAGTGGTAAAGAGCACCCAATGCTCTTGCAGAGGACCTGAGTTAGTTCCCAGCACCCACGTCAGGCAGCTCACAATAGCCCATGTGACTCCAGCCCCTGTGCACATGCACACACGCACACACACACACACACACACACACACACACACACACACTATAAATCCTTAGAAAAGGAATCTGCCATCTATCTTTGTTCCTATCACTTACCTACCTACTTCTGTATTTATCATACATCTGTCTTCTGGGATGCACTATTTTTAGCCCCCAATCTTTAAGAGATAGTAGACGGCATTTACCTCTGGGTGTTTTTTACCATTCCCAAGTGATATGTGAATCAGAAACCCAGAAATCTATGTAGGTCTCTAGGCTGTGTGCCAGAGTTTTAGATTTAGAAGATGTTCAGAATTTGTTTCTGGCAAATTTTCAGTGATACCTATGCCACTGGGCCAACGTCACATTTTTTAGAACCGCAGGTGAGCATTGCTCTTCTTCATTGCCAAGTACCTCCCTTGTTTTGAAGGCACATTAAAATTCGCTGGACTGCTCTGCCATTTAATGGTATCTTCTTAAACACTTAAAAGTTCCTTCAAAGGGTCAGAGAGATGGTGCAGTGGGTAAAAGTGCTTACTGTTAAAGCATGCCAACCTGAGTTCAATACCCACATCTCACGGTAGAAGGAAAAAACAGATTCCTGAAAGCTGTCTGATTTCCACATGCCACCTATACACCTGAATGCACACCACACATTCCCACCCCCCCATCCCCCACCCCACACATACACACACACACACACACACACACCATAAACCCAAACAGCTGAAGCAAAACTTCCTTTAAAGTCACCTTACAATTACACTTCTCTAAATTTTCAAAGCATACCACATGTGAAAATGAAAATAGAAAAATTTATGGACAGCTTCTGTTTCCTATTTGCAAATAAGCAATATATGTCACTCTCTGTAAGAAACAGAATTAAACAATATGCTGAAGTCTCCTACCCCCGTTCTCACTGTCCCACAGTCACCCCCAGACAGCCCTTATCCAGACTATGTATTAACCATATCTCTGCCTTTCTTCATCTTGTTATCATCTATGTATAGAATCCTAAGCAATATACAAGTTCTATTAAGTGAAGGCTTCAATTTTCAGCTAGCTATAGTGGAATATTCCTTTACACTGTGTGAAGATGTGCCACTGTGATTGACTTAATAAAGAGCTTAATGGCCAATAGCTAGGCAGGAAGAGGTTAGGTGGCACTTCTGGGGACAGAGAGCCCCGGGCAGAAGAAAGGAAGAGCCGCCAGCCATACATGGAATAACCAGGATGGGCATAATGGAGATTAGGTATTGAGCATGTGGGAAAATGTAGATTTAAAAGTATGGGTTAAGTTATAAGAGTTAGTTAGAAACAAACCTAAACTGAGGCTGAGCTTTTATAATTAATAGTAAGTCTCTGTGTCATTATCTGTGAGCTGGCAGCCCAAAGAAAAACCCATTTACAACTAGTTAGTGTGTGTGTGTGTGTGTGTGTGTGTGTGTGTGTGTGTGTATTTTGAGTCAGAGTTTCTCTGTGTAACAGCCTTGGCTGTGTTGGAACTTGCTTTGTAGACCATGGAGCCTTGAACACAAAGAGATTTACCTGCCTTTGCTGGGATTAAAGGTGTGTACCACCACACCTGGCTTTTAGGGTTTGTTTCAATGTGCGTGTGTGCTTGTGTCTGCATTTTATGAGTATATGTACACATGTGTGTTCAGGTGCCCACAGAGGCCAGAAGAAGATATTACGTCATTTGGAACTTGAGTTCCAGGCATTTGTAAACTGCCTGAGCTAGGTACTGGTATCCAAAGCTCTTCCTCACAACTAAGCCACGGGTACTCTTAACCCCGAGTCATTTCCCAGCCTCTAGCTGTTCACTTATTAAGTGGGAGAAATGGCTATGCGCCACAAACACCAACATTCTTAAGACGACTGGATTTATGGTTCATTGTCTCCCTCTCATCTGTCTAAGGTAATTTGCTTTCTTTCCCATCAAGAGCCCCAGGAATCATGTTGGGATCAGGAAAAGTGGCCTCTGACCTGTTCTGCCTGGCTTATCCTAAAATTGTACCCATCAGATTCTGCTTAAATATTTAAGATCCTGAGAGGAGTACCAGATGGCTCAAATGGGGTCCAGAGCCTGAAGCATCTGAATAGCAATCAAAGCTGCACATAGCCCGACTGGAGAGGAATGTTGGCAGAGAGGAATAAAGAGGCAGCACATAGGAAAGACACAGAGAAGGGGTGCAGTGGCTTCAGGAAAAACAGAGGAAGAGGCTCCTGGGTGGAGTCTGCCTACAAACCCCTTTGCTCTTTTGTACCATTTTTCCCTCTGTAAGACTCTCCAGCGGCCATTCTATTGTCTTCCTTTATTGTACTAATATGAATGCATACCTGATCCTGCCAGCCAATCAGTGCTTCACTAAGAAAGTGAACATAAGGAACGATCATAAGTGCACTCATTTTGTAAAAAACTGTTTGAAAACAGGCTCTGCTTTTCCAATGTATAATTCATATGTGTATATGAAATAGAATATGTCAGCTATCCTCTAATGAAAGAGTAGCCTCTTAATACAGCGATATATTGTGACAATTAGAACATTAATTCAACAAATATTTTACTGAACATTTATTATCTGCTAAGCACGGAAGGTGCAAGATATGCTGTATTAATGGTCTTTTAGGAGCATACCTAACTCTCATGGGAACTGCAAATACTATGCCTAAAAAGATTAAATAGTAATATATACTACTTTAGGGTGCTGTGGTGGTTTGAATGAGAACGGCTGACATAGGCCCATTAATATTTGGCTTCCAATTGGTAGACTATTCAGGAAGGATTAGGAGGTATGGCCTTGTTGGAGGCAGTATTTCAATGAGGGTGGCTCTGAGGCTTCAAACCAGAGGCCCAGTCTTGCCTTCTCTCTGCTTTCTGCTTGTGGATCAGATGTAAGCTCTCAGTTACTGCTCCAGCACCATGCCTGTTTCCCACCATAATGAAAATGTACTAACCCTCTGGAACTGTAAGCAAGCCACTAATTAAATGCTTTTCTTTTACAAGTGCCTAGGTCATAGTATCCCTTCCAGCAATAGAACAGTAGCTATATCAGGCATTTAAAGACAGTAGTATCTGTTTTGAGATACCAGGGTATGGTTGTCTGAGAAGGTAACAGTAAACTGAAGATTGAGAGAACTGGAGAGATGGCCCAGAGGTTAGGAGCAGGACCCAGGTTCTATTCTCAGTACCCATGTGTGGGTTCAGAACCATCCTTAACTTCAGTTCCCCAGAAATCTGATGACATCCTCTTTTGGCCTCTGCAAGCACCAGGCATGCACATAACATGCAGACACACATGGCAGGGAGAACACTCATACACATTAAATAATTACATCTTTAAAAACAAAAACAAAAGCAAAAAAAAGTGACACTTTCAAGTTGAGTAAGAGTTGGTCATGTACTTAGTTTTGAGGGAAAGACATTCCAAGCATAGCAAACAGTATAGAGAAAATTCAGAAGATGGGAATGACCACAAACATTAACTGAAAACATTAGCCATGATAAGGATACGGAGTCTAATAGTGGAGAGATTAAAAGAATGCTGAAATAGCTGTAGCCTTCTGAGATGTACCTATGACCCTTGGAGCATATCTGGCAAGTAGAGTTACTAAATGCTGCCAAACAAGCAAGCTGTACCCAGGTAAATAGCTCACGGTTACTTAGACGAGTGGATCAAGCTGCCCTGTTGAAATGTGATCAGAGTGTAAGCATTACTAACCTGTTCGCAGGCAGGCCACATTCGCTAGCCACCACTCTGGGATCTTGGGCAGAATCACCATTACTCGGTCTCCCCTTTGCAAGGAACAGGCTTCTGTGAGTATGTTGGCGAATTTCCTGGATAAAGATCCAAGTTCTTCAAAACCCCATCTCACTTCTCCTCCATTTCCATCTATCCACCAGAAGGCTGGGTTGGAAAGTCTCCCTCCAGCCTGAGGAAAGCACAGCCATCATGGACTTAGAGGTTGTTATACAGTTAAATTATATTTCAACTGACTTAATGGAGCATATTCTCTGCAAAAACTCACAAGTCAGTTATTAGTCAGGACATACATGGAGTAAGTACAGACCACTCACAAGTTCTTATTTCTGCATGCTGGGAACCGTGCCAGTTTTTTGCGACCAGTCCTTTCTCATTTATCATGATAATTTTTCCCCAAAAGTTAGAATTTATAAATTTATACATTACCCCCATCTTCCCCGGGAAGTATCCATACTTCATTTCTTTTCATTTTGACTCTTGAAATCACTTTTTACTCCTTTTTGTTTAAAAGTGTGTGTGGATACATTACAAAAAGGATACATTAATACAACCTAGACTTTCTCAAACAGCCATGAAGGCTTTGTAGGCAAGATAAGACCTTGTTCAGGGGCTGTTCTGAACATTAGAGGACATCAGTACTGCCCCTCTATCCTTAGATGTCAGAAACAACTACTGACTTCCCCCTAACCACCCCTTCGTTTCAGCGAAACTCTCTAGAGTCATTACTAACTACTCTTGGAGGCCATGATCGCTTGCGATTGAGTCACTGTAGTCTGGCTGGCATTTGTTCCATACCTTTTCCACACTGCTCCATTGGTCCAGGACATCTTTTGCAAAATTGAAATGCTCTGGAATCTCTAGTTTGAAGTCCTGTTTCATGGATTCATAGTTGGAAAAGTTCTGAGGGGTTGCTGTTCTGTAATCTTTATACAAGACTCTTAGAGGACCAGGAATTGCTAGGCGCTGCAAACACTTAGCATGACGTAACATTGCCATGGTGACAAAAGCTATCTAGAATCAGTGCTGTTGGATGTTTTAGCACTTGGGGTTTCCATGCAGACTAATCCAGCTAAAAGACAAGCAAAAATGACGTGCGTTTAGTTTCGTTTGCAAAGTAGTAAGACCGCAAAATACACATAAGTTTTACCATAATTCTTCATCATTACCCACTCAGTATCATTTTCTGGGCATTGGTATTTGCTTTGATGCTTTGTGTATTCTTTGTCATTAAAGCCTCAGAGAAACCCTGTAAAGTATGCACTGTTATTATCTGTGTCTACAGATGGCAGAAACAGCAAGAGCCGTTGGCTGGATTCAGGCCCAGCCCATTCTCCTGACTACCCACACTATTGCTTTCCACATGCATTTCTCAACTTTTTGTGACTGTGCAGAGGCTTATGATCTAAGGCCATATCACACCCCACAGATTATCTACAGATGAGGAAACTAAGAGGAGCCTAGTGCCAACTGGGCCTGAAAGCACTGTCTATGTTTAGGGTCTGTCTGGTTTACAGGCTACAGTTCCCATGCTCCCAATAGGAGCCCACACTACTACTCTCGAGTCCAGGCTTGGAGCTATAATAACAGGGCTGCTGTGCAGGGAGCTCCTTCCCAGCCACCTACTACTCCTTACTTTTGTGGGAAGTCGTTTGATCACAATGTCATTTTACTTGGCCCAGGCTATTAAAAATACGGTTTTAGTGTTCCAGGGATTGTGACTGAGTTTCTTCTCCTTATGCTTCCCATAATTTTCCTGCAATAAAACATATACTGCTCTCATAATCATTACAGCATAATTGTAACTGTGATTCTAGCTGTGTGGTAGGGCAGCCTGGCTATATGGAATCATTTCTGTAATGATAAAGTGAACCAGGACAAGATACCAGGTATCAGCTAAACTGCATCCTACGTGGATGTTGTGGTTGGGCATCATGTTAATGCATTGGATGCATCTGAAACCCAGGCGCCCTGATGTCTCACCTGGTTGTGTGAGAAACTGACCAGTCCATGATCTTGAGCTTCTGAGATCATCCTGCTTGGGCCTCCTTGCTTTTCACCTTCAAAGAAAATGAACCTCAAACAGAGGAAACATCAGGCTTTACCTATTGTGTCAGGGCTCAAACTTGGGTCTTTGGATTCTCATTTGAATGGCTTTATTTTGGGCCAACAGGACTCCAACAGAGCAGTGGTTTGGTACCTTGTCTATGAATTGACTCACTAAGAAAGCTTTTTATAAAAACTTGAATGCCTGGATCATTGCCAATTAAGTCAGCATTTCAGGGAGTGGGCCTATACTATTTTTAAAATTTTCCTCAGATTGTAATGCATAACCCAAGTTGAGAGTCAGTCATTCAGAGCCTGGGATCTAGGAACCATCAGTACAACTGGAAGCTTGTCAGAAATGTACAGTTTTTGAGTCCCATTGCAGATCTGTTGAATTAGTGGATTTTAAACTTTTAACAAGATTTCCCAGGCAACAAGTTTCTATGTTCAAGTGAGAGAAACGATAGTCTTTAGGGTGTTGGCTAAGTCCATTGCCTATTTATCATACAATCACGGATTAGGTCTATTTACCACTTATTTAATTGTTACTCTGTTTGAATAGTAAACCACTATGAATCTCAGCTTTACATTTTATTAGTAAAGACACTGATAGAACCTCTGACAGAGAGGTATGTTTACCAAAGACTGAATTCAGTAATGCAAAATGTTCCCATGGCACCAACAAAGGTATGTGAATATTGGGCTTTATGGACCTTGCTTTTTTCTGTTGTGATACTCAACTCTTCCATAGAGGTTGGTAATACATAAATAAATAAACATGGTCAGTTTCTTCCAAACCCCTATCGATGAACACTGAACCTTGAATTGCATGCAGTTTTCATATGTTATGAAGTACTGTTCCACTTTTTCTTCCACAACTATTTAAAGATGTGAAAACCACTGTTAGTTCCTAAAGTTGTTAAAATGGACACCAGGCTGGATAATTTCACTGATTGTCGTTAGCTGATGGTATTGGACTGTAAATTCTGTGACTGTCATCCTCATACTTCTGTCCTGGGACTTATAACCACCTTTGATCCAAAGTGTATGGATTTCTGATCCAGTTTTTTGATCCAATTGAAATTAAAGTCAATTAAAAATAATTTGTTAACCTTTAGTTCCAAAACTTGCTAAGCAGAGGCAAACAGACTTCTGTGAGTTCAAAGCTAGCCTAGTTTATATAGTGAGATCCTGTCTCAAAAAGTAGATATAAAAATTAAAAATAAAGGGAATATTTGGTGAGCAAATAAATGACTTTTTCAGAAGGGAGAATTTTTAACTCTAGGGTTATAGTTGATCGAAGAGGTGCCTCAATGCTTTAACCAGAGTTATGTGATTACCCGCATCATCTACGTGAGGCAGTTTATGTTAATGTAAACACAATTGTAAAAATCAGCTCATTGCTAGTAACCCTCCAGCTAAGGTCTGGAGCCCTGTGCTTCCCTTCTCCATGACGTTCCAAGTTGCTGTGAGCTCATATGTGTGCCCACCCTGCTGTAGATCTGGGGGAAGTGGCTGGTGGTGATAAAAATAATCAAAACACATTGTATGAAATTTTCAAAGAACTAATAAAAATAAGGAAGTAAAACAAAAGAAAAATCGGCTCATTAGTTACAGGAGTTGTATTTCAAGAGCTTAATAGGCAAGTGTGGCTCAGGTCACCCTGCACTGGGCAGAACTGACGTAATGCCTTGCTGTTGTTGCAGCATTTGCTGAGGATCTGTCCGACTGACAGCTTAGAACTGAACTCCCAGAAAACGTTAAAAGAAAAATTGAAGGAGGAAATTTCCCAGGGTAAGACTTTCCTTCAGGTCCAGGGTTGGGAAAGCACCGCACAGAACTTTCTCTGACCCAATAGTTATGAAGAAAAAGCAATGCAGAAAAGCCACCTTTTTAGAACCGAATCACCCTGAGGCTGTTTCCCCAGGGTTAAGTCTTCGAGGTCCCAAATGTCATTCTGTTTGGGTCAGGGCCAGGTAGCAAGAGAGCAACTGGCTGGCTGTATGCTAAAGCAACTACCTGGCCTCTTGGCTGTACTCCAACTTCTTAACAGAATTAGGATCAAGTTCTTTTGAGCCCTCCCACACCCCCAACACACACACACACACACACACACACACACACACACACACACACACA